TAATTTAAGTACATCCGCCCGTGTTGTGTGTTGTGTGGCAAAAGTTAGCTGGAAAGTTAAGCAACTATGTTCGTAAAAATTACCTTATCCGACTTTACCGACCTTATAAAAATTCCACAAAATTTTAATATCGGCTTTTCTTAGAAACCTTAAGCTCCTTAATTTTACGGTGGAAACTCATAAAAATGTCAACGTGCTAAGCACTTAAAAGGTGTTAGTTTGAGTAGATGTCGTAGAAGCATACATGGGAAGATCCTAATTTCTCAAAGAGGGGAACGACAGAAACGCCACTGAGAATAGAGACTTGTAAAGGGTGTTATTATGAGCGATAAAAATATTAAAAAAACAAGTGAAAAAGCGTTAGATATACTGACAGGTACTTGAAATGAAAATATAGGGAAAATACCAAAAAGTGGACTAATACCGACATTTCTACAAACCGATTATGTAAACCATGATACAAATTTCAGAAATGTTTAATGGATAATTATACCCTTAACCTTATGCCTAATGAGGGTGTAAACACTTTGACACGGCGAAAATGTGTCTCATCTAAATATTGGTTCTAGGCCTCATGTTTCTTTGGACCAAATTTGTTTTCATCCAAACCTTACCCATCTTATTATTTCTTCCAAACTTAGTTCAAGTTCGAAGATGGGGAATATCGGTCCACTCCATCTGGTACCTACCTCAGAGGGGCTAGACCTAAATGCGGGTTATAGTTCATATATAGTTCAGCGAATTCGGTTGAAAAATTATCAAAACCCCCAAAATACTGAAAATTTGGGGGTGCCGTTATATGGGGACTATCAGAAAAAGTAGCCCTATATTTATATTTTTTGTGGAGACATTTTGTACCCAATACGAACCCACTGTACCAAATTTTAGTGACTTCAGTTGAAAAACGCTCTCAAGAACCCCAAAATACCGAAAATTGGGGGGTACCCTTATATGGGAGCTATGACCTGCCAGCAGACAAAAGACAACCCCATGCAACATTTTATCACCCTATCTCAATTCCTTCAGAAGTTAGCGTTATTACAACAGACGGACGGACGGACAGACATGGCTAGATCATCATAGAATTTTACCCTGGTCAAGAATCAAGATCAAGAGACCAAAAAAAACACACACACACAAATAACTCAGAAAAATTCATAAAATCTATTGCTTTAGCATAGCCCCACAAAAATGGTCTAAAGGCGTTAAATCCCACGATCTAGACGGTCAACTGACTTTTTCTGTATTAATTTGTAGGTTTTGCAACACTTCTGGCTGGTCTTCATTCTAAAATCGTGCCCATTGAATTATCGGCCAAATTTAGGTCATTTGGCTTCAATTCTACTTTTCCACTTTGTTGAGTAACATAGGTCATCATTAACACTGGCTGATACAGCTGCGATATTTTCTTCACTTCTCATTCACTTAAAGGTACCAAAAATATTGTTATGTGGTATAATTTTGGTTTGTGGCTTTGTGCCCTTACAAATGATAGAGTGATAAAGTGTCAGAACTTTCGTTCCATAAGCTGAGATTAAAAAATATTTCTAGGCGCGTCGAAACATTGCGTAGTTTTATAAATTTGAAAGATCATGTTCGGCAATGTTGTTTTCCACTTGATCTTTCCATCCAATTCGTGGCCTTCTGCATGATTCATCAGCTGGTTCCCTTTTATATGCCTTTTAGGCTGGGGCATCTTCATCCATGCTCATAACAGGAATGAGCCAACGTAGTCGCTGCCGCTCGATACGTCTAACAATGCCGAGAGCACGGGTAGTATCAGCGTCTTGTAGAGTGTGATTTTTGTCTGGCGGGAATTTACCTTGTTTGTAAACTTCTAACTTCCTGCTCCGAATTTCAAAACTGATGTCATTAGTTTTATTTATGGCGGTACCAATGTTTACTGGCAGACCCACTTTGGCAGACTCCTTCTCCATTTGTTCAAACGTGGCTGTTACCGCTCGCAATGTTCGACCCGTTATATCGATGTAATCGGCGAAATCGAGTAACATGTGCTGTTTGATGTAAAGTACCATTTCCGTTCACATTTGCCTCCGAGAGGTCCCTTCCGACTTTAAAAGCTGATTTTGTGTCAGTTAATGTTATCCTGCATAGCCGCATTAATTTTGCAGCAATGCCAAACGCAGACATGACTTTAAACACCTCTTAATGGATAGGGTTGTCGAATGCGGCTTAATAGTCGACGAATAGGTAGAATGTGTCGTTGTGTTTTTCGTGGGACATTTCCAGTATGAAAATGAGAACGAAGATCTAGTCAATTTTTGGCACATATCGTCATGTCTCCTCTTTTGTGCACGGAACACAGGATGCTGAGTTCCAATCATTGGACATGCATGCATCTAGCCAAATTTTACTAATCAGTTGGTGCATGCTCCTGACCAGCATCTGACCACCAGTCTTAAATAGTTCGGCTGGTAACCCATCGGCATCTGCTGCTTTATTTTTCTTCAACCGATTAATTGCTATTCTGACCTCATTATATGGTATACACTCTATACCGTCATCACTTATTGGATCTGGGATATATTTTTCACCGATACTATTTGATACCAGGAGCTTTTCAAAATGCTCCTTCCAGATCCTCAGCACACAGTCTGTATCTGTCAGCAGGTTTCCTTATTTATCTCTACAGGAGGATGTGCCTGCACCAAAACCTTCAGTTTGGTGTTTTACTCGTTGGTAAAATTTCCGGACTTCGTTCTGAAAATGATATTAAAAATCTCCGAAATTTTAAATCTAGATGGGTTGGGGGCTTCTCTTAAATTAATAATGGGACCTTCCCAAAAAATGAACCAATATTGATATTTTATGCTATGAAGATTTGCTACCCAAAGGGGATTAAAAATACCAGATTTGAGCCAATTCGCTTGGAAAATGTGGCGAAATTCACGAAAATAACGATATTTTGAGTACCGGTTATATGAAACAATATTAATTGGTTCTCGGGAGCAAGATTTGTTATTCATTTATCCAATTTGGTTGAAAAACTTATCAAAACTCCCTTAAATACCGATTAATAGGAGAAACTTCTCTGTGAGGGACACCCTAATATATGGCCCAATATTTAAAATTGTTTGTAGGAAGAAAACTACCCAATGTGCAGTCAAAGTAAAAAGCGTGACCAAGCATCCCAAAATACCGAATAATGGGGTGTACAGCTTCATCGAGTCTACTCTGAAACATAAACCAATATTGATATTTTTCTAGGGAAATGTACTACCAAATGAGAATCCAAATGATCACATTGGAGCTATTTGGAGCTTGAAAACTGTGTCCCAACTACTTAAAATATCGGAATATACGATGTGCCCTAATATGGAAGCCACCCTCAATATTGACAAAACCGACCAAATTAAAGCAAATTCAGTTGAAAAACCCTGTCCAAACTCCCCAAGTTATAATATTTCGGAGCGTGTATACCCAAACGTGTACCGATGTAACCAATTTTCAATACCAAACGTCCTAAAATTAGTAGTAATGTTTGTGCAAAATTTTAAGGTTCTGTCCACAAAGTTTTGCTATATTTATCGTGATTTCAACATACAGGCGTACAGACAGACAGATATGGCAAATTAGATACACGTAAAATTTAATTCTTATCAAACATATAAGTTAGCGAAGAAGAAGAGCTTGGGGACAACAGCTCGTCTTTCTTACCCTGTCATCATTTCCGAACCTTGGTTTCCCTTGGTTGAACATTATTAATTTATTAAAAAAATTGTATGTATTTTAATACAATTTAAATTCTTTAAATTAAAACAAATGTTTATTTTCTAATAATATATAAAATATATATATAATATAAGAAATATATAATTGATATTGTATATTGACCTGTGTTATAAATTTAAAAAATAACAATTGTATAAAATTCCTAAAAAATAAATCGATTTGTTATTTTATTTTTTTTTATGTAATATTTTTATGTTGTCTATAACAATGTTTCTTTTAACATATATATAATTGTGAAAAATAATATTGTAAAAAAAACACAAAACTAAATCAATGTTGTCTGTACTCTAACTATATCTTTCTCTTTGTCTATATTCTCTCTCTATATATATACAACAACTGTTCTATTTCTATTGTTTTTCTTTACTATTATTATTTTTTCTTTAAATTTGGCATGTGCTTTAGTTTTTCAAAATTTAATTTTGTTTTTATAAAAATTTATTTAGTTTTTCTTCTGTTTAGTTTATTTATATTTTGTAGAAGCAAACCAAAAAATTAGAAATTTTTTGAAAATCCTTAAAAATTGATGCCCCAAAAAATATCACCATATTTCGTGGTAACGATACGATACGCCATTGAAGACAGACGAAAAAAGAAATTAAATGATTATTTTTTTTTTCCTTTCCGATTTTTAAAGCTATATAACTATCTACCTTTTCTCTGTCTCTTTTGCATACAAATGACATTGAAATCGAAATGAAAGAAAGAACGAATACAACACAGCCTATTAAACCACAAGCCGTTTTTAGAATAAGTCACCAAAATACAAAACCCGAAAATAAAAATAAAAAACGCCTAGATTAAACATACAAAAATATTTCTGCTTGGGAAATTTTAAAATTAGGATTTTTATTAATTTTCCTTAAATTAAAAAAAAATAATAATATATTTATTAAAAAATCTTTTTTTAATATTTTAGGTAATAACATTTTTTCCTAATGAAAAAAATCGAAAAAAACACACATTAATTTTTTTAATAACAAAACACATCATTGCCACTAACACCCAAACAATTTAACAAATGAAAAAAAACATAAACGAAACGAAAAAAAAATTGTAAAACCTTTAGCCTTGTTTTGGAAAAAGAAAAATCCATTACCCTTGATCATCCTGCCAATTCCCTATATTTTCCCCTCTGATTTTTTTCTTAACAAATTAACAAAACAACTAATACCAACAAATCTATAAAATAAAACAGAAATGCCAATTTTTTTAAACTACAACAACAACAATTTGAAATTTTCTAGGCGTTGTACTCTTCTCATCGGCGGTTTATTTTGCGGAAGCTGGAAGCGAAAATTCCTTCTTCAAGTCCATACCCGATGCATTTTGGTGGGCTGTTGTCACCATGACAACCGTTGGATATGGTGACATGACGTATGCAAAAACTTTAATTCTTTTTAAAAAAACTAAAAAAAAATACTTTTTCTGTTCTACCTCTTTGTTATTTATTTAGTTTCAATTTTTTTTAAACTTAACTCTGTCTCTTTTTTTTAATACTTAGATTTACTAATTTTCTTAATTTTTTATTAATTTTTGTTTGTTCGATTTTTCTTTGTGTTTGAAATATTTTTGTTGTGATTTTTTCAATAACACTTTAAAAAAAATATTTTATTTTTTTTTTTTTGTAACTTCTTTTTGTATATTATTTTTGTTTTATGTTTAACACTATATTTTTCTTATAATATTTTTGTGATATATTTACAACAAAATTATGTGTTTTGTCTTATATTTAAAAAAATCATTATATTTTTCCATATAATTTGCACATGTGTTCAAAAATCAAATTTTCAAAACAATAACCCCTCAATTCCCGCTCAAAAACAAAAAAAAAACTGATTTGCCAAACAAATCAAGCGACATTTTTTCACCATTTCATCAGCAGCATCAATCATAAAAAATTTAAAAAAAAAATAAGAAATCATTTTCAAATTTTAAAAATACAACTGTACATAAATCTTCAACCCGGCACCGCCCAAGCAAAAACAGCAGGGCCCCTACCAAGGGCCAAACTTTTATAAAATATGCACCAATTTTTTAAATATTTATTTTTTCTATTTTTAATGCAAGCATAATTTATTTATTTTTAATTTTTATTTTTTATATTAATTTTCATAAAAATTTATTTCATAATTTTTCTCTCTGTCTCTTTTCCTACTATCCTTTCTGATTTATGCATCATATGAAATTATTTCTAAGCTTGTTGCATGTTTTTTATGTATTTTTCAAAACTTCATCTCTATCTTTCAATCTGAAAACAAAAAAATCAAAAAAAAAAACAAAAAATATTGGTTCCTCTTTCAAAATCACAACATGCTTTCCTCTTACCTACATAATTTTTAATTTTATTTTATATTTTATTTCCATCTCTCATCGTTTGCATGTCCTTGCTTTCTCTCGAATTTCTTTGTGGCTTAACAACAACAAGCTTCCAATGTAAATCCTTACATAAATAATAAACACTCTACAAATAATAGATCTCTATACTAATTGGTTTTATCATTCGATCATGTCATGTATCACCGTCACGACCACCACCACCCACCGCCATTATTGTCATCGTCATTTGCATTTTTTTTATTCTCTCAAAACATCAATCAGCAAAGCAATCAACCAATCACAAAATCAAACGCCAGCAAATCTATTTTCTTTCCACTACATATTTCTTTTCAAAATCGAAAACCGACAAAGTCCATCTGTAAATTCTACAACGTCTCTCTGTGTTTATAGTCACATGAAAATTCGAATAGGGTTCTTTAAGAAAATATTTTAACCAAAAGGAAGAGAGAGAATTTGTCAATTTTTGGAGAGAGAAAAAAAATAATCTTTTTTTAGGTTAAGGTCAACATTTTTTGACATTTCAAACCTAATTGGAATGTGAAATCTCACGAGACTATATATAAAGATATTCTATATGATTTGGAAACGAAGTGTAATATCATGTACATAAGTCGATATTGATTTTTATAACATATCCGATATTAAAGATGGTGTGGGAACGAAGTGATGTGTTTTGATTTTTATCACCTTCACACCTCCACTTTTAGACGAAAAATAATGTGTTTGAGGGTATGACCTGATGGTATATTTGAAATTAAAAAAAATGAATATTATGGCACAGACTTTTAAGACAAGATATCGAACCGAACTTTTTATATCTTCCAACATTTATACCCTCAACCACGAAGTGTACATTTAAAATATGTAAAATCGATCGGCATTTGACATGGTAAATTGGTACCAGGAGAAAACCCAATACCAAACTACAGACACAGAGAAAAATTCATAATATAAAACCAATGAGCGGAGCAGTATAGTCGGACGGGACCGACCATACGATACCCTACACAACTACCACAGAACTCCATATTTCTGCGTGAAATACGTGGGTTGTGTTGTGATATTGTGATCGACTCGAAAAAACACAAAAAAATAAGTTTTCGGTTCACTTCATCACAAAATTATTATGTTATCATCCCCGAAAATTATAGGCATTGTCCTTAACCATAACTAGAACCTCATGAAACATTTCAACGCGATCAGCGCTATATTTCCGCCCTCTAGTGTGGTAATGGTTTATTAAATAATATCTGAATACGGAAGCACCTGTAAATATTTACGTGTAACTCCCACATCCGAGTACATACGACAATATAATTGGTATCAATTTAAAGGCCAGCTCCTCCTCTATGTCCTTCAGGAGTAAATATATACGCTATAGAATACAAATTTTGTAATTTTTCACACCAAAGTCAGGGTCCATTTGACCGGCTAAATATTGGCCGATCTTTATCAAAACAGGCATTCCTACTCTTTGGCCCAGTCCCCTTCTCCATGTAAAAATTCGAGATGTTTGGACCATAATTGGGACCAGAAAACCCGACAATAATTCAGTATTTGGTCCATTTCATCCCCTAAATATTAAATCTTTACCATAGGGGTCTTCATTGGGCCGAACCCATCCTACATGCAAAATTTCGTGAAGATTGGTCCATAACTGTGGTCTGTATCGTGTTTACAAATTATAATGGACAGACGGACGGACGGACACACATGTCAAGATCGACTCAGCTAGTCGAGATATGACGATCGGTATACATAAAGGTGGGTCTAGGACAAATATTCCTGACAACATAGTTGTGTAGGGTATAATTATAAACAATTGTGCTAAAAAAATGCCCAAGCCGCCGAACAACCGAAATTTGGGAGAAACTGTTCTGTGAAGGGTAGCATAAAAACTGGACCAATATGGCAGCGAAATTCCTACCCAATCCTTAAAAATGTGCCCAAACTTCCTTAAAAGAGGAAGATCAAGACGGCCCATATAGATCATTTACACGGGGATTATCTAAAAACGTAAAAGAAGGAAAAAGCAATGCATGACAAAATTATATTAAGTATAGCGATCTGTATCACGATTTCAACAGACGGACCTGGTTAAATCTTTATATATCCCCATAAAGAAAAAGTTTGGATGACCAATCGACCGACACAAAACATTAAATTATATGATCACAGAAGTGTTATATCTATGACGAAAATGGCGCAGTCTTTTTGAAATCAAATATCGCTCTAATCATACATCACTATGGACGGTTATGTATTTACTGGCATATTTTTTTATGAACATCCACCGATTCACAAACCACAGTAAATCGTTGCTATTTTCTGGATAAAGTGACAGCTCATTGATTCGTTAGTTAGTTTTTGAAGCTTATTAAGAGCCCATAAAACGAATCGATAATGCTTGGGAAGTTCAGGCGGCTTTAGGATTTCCTCTCTGTTATAGTAGTTTGGGGGAAAATCCATTATTTTTATATGAAATATAGGATTTTATTTAACATACTTCGGAATGTCCGATTTGGGCCAAATATCCACTGGTTTGTTGTACGATTTGTTGCCATATTTAAGATAACTTCATAATGCCTCTCTCATAGAAATCCGGCTCTCTATTTGCAAAAAACTCTAGTCGTCGATTTTAACAATCCTCGCTAGATATCTATTTTTTATCATAAAGGAAATTTTGCAATGCAAGAAAAATATGATAATCGCTTGGTGGCAAGTTCGGACTGTATGAAGGATGCATTAAAACTTCCCAACCAAGCTCCCGAAGTTTCTGGCGAGTTACTGTAGATGTGTCCTGGTGGAACACGACACCTCTTCTGTTGGTCAAATCTAGCCATTTCTGGTCAAATGTTTTAAACGGTGCAGTTGTTGACAGTAGAAATGAGTATTTAGCGTTTGGCCACACCAAATGCATAGCAGAAGTTAGTTCTGGTTTAGCCACCGTTTGAGGTGCTTCACCACACTGTGACCACGATCATTTTCGCACAGGGTTATCGTATTTAATCCATTTCTCATCTCCAGTCGCCATCCGTTTAAGAAATAGGTTTATCTTATTTCGTTTGGCTAAGGCTTCACAGATGGAAATTCGATCCATCCAATTTTTTTTCTGTGTATTGGTATGGCACCCAAACATAGAGCTTCTTTTTGAATCCAGATTTGGTCCATTTTTAGCTCCTGGGCAAGGTTAAGACTGCTGACATGCTGGACGAACGGTCTATTGGATTTATTATTCCCCAACCTATTATATGTTGACAATATCAGCCAGTTTAGATTGCACTTTTCTCTTTTTAAACTACGAATATAATAGTTGCATTTTTTTTCTAATCTTTCATACAGGAGAAGTCTATTCTACGAATGTTATGTTGTCCACTTATATTTGGACGATATCTAATTCATAGAATAGGGATATATATCATCCTTGGACCCCTTGTCACTACTAAGCTTTTTTACTGGTTTTCGGCGTAGAAGAACTTTTATGAAACACATACATAAATTTATTGATATTACACTACGTTCCAAAATATATTGTTTTTCTAAGTTTAAATAAATAATTTGAAATTGGATTTTAAGCATATGTACGCAGGCGTTTCGCACCAATAGTAACGAATATTTCAGCAATAATAATATTGATATTGAGTTAAAACTATGGCACAATGCTGATATATTTATCCCCCCAAAAAAGGCTTTCATTGCTTTAAACATACATATATCTATATAATAATAACAACATATTATTGTACCAATATTTAAATTCAAATAATCGGTTTCTGGGTCTCCCCACAAATGCTTTTTTATCTGGAAATCTGCCAATATATTTTATCCAAATAAAAACCAAATCGATTATATTATGCTTCTTATGATAATATAATTTAATATATATTTATTCAATTTATTTGCATGATCTTTCAGTTTTATATATTACAATGATCAAATCGATAATTTTCCCATTGGCAGTGTGAGAAAAGAAAAACTTACAAAATATAATCGTGTCATTATTAAAACAAACAAACAAAAAAACTTTGTAATATAAT